CACTGTGCAGGTGTGCAGCTTGGAGAGGTTACTGAGCTTGCTAACGCCATAGCCTCCCTCTCTGAACAGGGAGAGCGATACCTATATCATAAGGTTGTTGAGAGGATTAAATGATATCATCCCTTAAAGCCTCATCCTAGTGCGTGATAAGTATGCAACAAAGAATTAGTGGCTGCGGGTAAGGAACCATAACCAACAGCCTTTTTTAAAGCAGTGGTTCTCAACCTTGGCCAAAAAATGGAACTCTCTGACCCCCCTTACCCTGCCCCTCCTGCAGAGATTTACAAAATCCTGATGTCTGGTGCCACCCACGAAATCCTTATTTATTTGGTCTAGGGTGCAGGCAGGACATGGGAATTTTTTTTAAGCTCTCCTGACAATTCTAATGTGCAGTCAGGGTTGAAAACCATTGCCTTAACGACATCTACAGAGTAAGTTCTTAGTCAGAAGGGCCTCTGCCAAGAGTAGATTTTGGAATGACAGCTATTTCTCTTTGAAAGATATGGTGTCTGCTTGGTGATTAGGAGTCTGTGGATAGATAATACTTCCCTACGCTCACAAGCAGAAGAATGGATTTTCCTACGGGGCTTTTTTTGCCCCTCTCCCCTTATTATTCACCCTCTCTCTCACACACACTTTACATCAAACCTTAAAGAAGAGTTCAGAAATCAAGCACGTTCATCGACAAGGTATGTCTATGTCATTTAAAGCAAAGTAAGAAACAGTTCATGTCCAATGATGCAGTGTCTAACTCTCAAGTTTGAGGCTGGCAGGTTACAAAATGCTGGTCAATTAACAGTTAATTGGAACAAGATGCAGAATTCACAAGGGTCATGACCGGTTGAGTCTAGAAAATGGCTTCAGTCAGGATGTCAGCAGTGGATCACAGATTGACTTAATGTACCTCCCTGCAGGGGACGTGCCGTTTTATCTTGTACGTCCTGGCTTTTCAAGAGCTATTACCACACGGGTGTTTTCCTCCAAAGCGCTCAGTGCCACTGCTGGCTCTCAGATCGTTTATAATAACGCTCCTCATGATAACTAGGTATTGAGTTAGCTCAAACAATTAAATAGTAAACATTTTATACTGGCAGCTTTGCAAACAGCAAAACATTGTGGTTCTAAAATAAAATAACTCTCTCCTAGGTGTCTATTAATTATGAGATTTAGAAAATACCAACAAGTGTCAAACTACAGTCAAATAATTCTGCAGTTATGTTTGTTAAGGGTGTCAATTCATGCTTTTTTTCTGTGTGTGGTTGGAAATAAATATATTTAAAATGCCAGTTTACGGCTTTGAGAAATCACGTGTGCCCACATACCACACGACTCATCAGAGGCAGTTATTTGATATAATCTGGACAATGATGAAGAATTATTTGTATCTACTAAGAAACTGACCCAAGGGCTTTTGGTGGTTGTTTGATCTCTTAACCAAAGGGAAAAACAATTTGGTTTCATTTTCCCTCTCTGTAATACCCTTTTAAGAAGACATCAAGTTGCTAACATCCCTGGGGAGGCTAACTGACAAACTGGATGGATCCGGGCTAGTAAACCACGCAGGGCATTCTGTCATCAAACAAAACTGGAGTGTAGAAGGCACGTTTTAAAAAAAAAACACACACACATAAGAAAGGACCCAGGTTAAAATTCAACATAGAATTTTACATAAATTCTGAAATTATGTGACACAAGCATATTTACTAAGTGTCACTTTATGGACCTAATTTGAAAAAAATGAAAATCCTATTGTACATTCACTTCTATGGGGAAATTAGGTTTAGATTAGGCAAGTGCTGAATTATACAAAGTCGTCAGAAAAGTCAGTCTTGAAAAACAGGTAACTGTGGAGAATAGATGGGGAGGCAGGTCATGGTCCAGGTGATAAATACCGCCACCAGAAGGGAGAACAAGAAGAGGTTTTTAACTTTACTATTTGGGAGTTTTGCGTTTTTTGTTTGTTTGTTTTTATAACTGAGGCTTATTCCTTTAATGCCCAAATGTTTTCATTTTGAAAAATTGCCTGAAAACATTGTAAAACTTTAATGTCTCCTGGGGGCTTGCTTCTGTATTCAACGGTTCCACCCAGGGGGCTTTGCTTTTCTAGTAGTAGCTGATTCTGAATTGTACTCTTATTCTTTCCTTGATTACAAACTGTCATTTCTCACCCTGGTCAATTCCCTCCTTCTATCCTAGAGCCCTCCGTTCTCCCCATATTCCTTATTTTAGCCACATATAAACTGGATTGCAGGTAACTAAGGTTCTCAAATTGCAAGAATTAAATAAAAGCCAGGCTCTGAGTTAAGGCCTGACCAAGGGCCGGATGCAGGGAAACCAGCAAGCTTCTGGGAAAGGTGTTTCAGCGGCTCAGAGGCTGACTCTGTGGGAGTCGGGGTGGACCTTGGCTTTGTTCCAGATGGAGACTCTGAGCTGGAAGCCTGACCTTCACCCCCATGTGTGGCACTCAGGTATTCAACACGTGTGCTACACAGGCGATGCGTCTGACCAACAGAGAGGCAGCCTGGTCTGGTGGGGACAGGAGTGTTGGGTCTGGCCTGAGACTTGACTCCCACTTAGGACCTGTGTGATGGGCACCAGCCACGGAACCCAGGGCTACTTCTGTTGCCTCCACCTGGTGAAGAAAATAACTGGACCCACAGAGTTGTCATGAACGCTTCTTTTTCTGAGTCTATCTCTAAAAGTGCTTGAAGGGGGTCTGGTACACGGCAAATGCTAAATTAGTGTAAGTAAAACAATAAGATAAATCTTACTTAGGTGGCTACTCTCATTCAAAGAGGAAATATAGGGATCTGCTTTTGCCCTTTCTTCCAAGAGCAAAGCCAATAAGTCAATGTCTCTCATTTGCTTGTTTATGGGAAAAAAACCCCAAACCCAACCAAACACCTGTACACTCCTCTGGGCAAAGCATCATGCTGGGTGGTACAGCTGTTGGCTTCAGCAGTACAATTTCTGCTCTCAGTAATACTTGCTATCACTGTGAAAAGTTTATTCTCTTTGAAAATCTTCCATGTCATTTTTTTTTCTTTTTTTTTTTTTTTTTTTTTTTTTTTTTGGTGGTATGCGGGCCTCTCACTGTCATGGCCTCTCCCGTTGTGGAGCACAGGCCCTGGACGCGCAGGCCCAGCGGCCATGGCTCACAGGCCCAGCCGCTCTGCGGCACGTGGGATCCTCCTGGACAAGGGCACGAACCTGTGTCCCCTGCATCGGCAGGCGGACTCCCAACCACTGCGCCACCAGGGAAGCCCCTTCCATGTCATTTTGACACAGGTAAAAATTTTTAGAGACAACCCGAAATTTGATTACTCTATTAATGACCTTAACTCTTAAGAGTCTTTGAATGGTTTATAGATATTCCTAAGCAACTTACTTGATTCATTCTCGTTTTAGCTGATGTTTCACATTAGAGTGCAGGGTGTTAGTCTTTAAAAAGTTTAAATGTTGATTTTTTTTTTAATTAGAAAAGAAATATGTGCTTGTCACAGAAAATCTAAAAACTCAGGTGAGCATATGGAAAAAAAATTTCATGTTCTCATCACCCAGGCCCATCACAGTTAGCCTTTTAGAGATTTCCTTGGTTATTTTACCACGTATTGTATGTATTTGCCTACACTGGATCATTTGTTATATATACATTTGTATATACAGATTAAAGTTCTGGGGGTAGATTTTCCTGATACCCACTCATGTTAGAAAATTTTAAAATATAGGATAGTGAAAAGATTATTAAAATTGACTCTGCCTGTATGCAAAGATGCTTTCCCCTCCTCTAACTCATTCAGCTAGGTGCTTCTAATTTGAACCTGTGTCTGCTGCAGTATTTGTGAAAGAGGGAAAATTAGCCCGTGGCCTTAGCCTCTAGTGGGGGCGGATTCTGGTCCAAAGAAGGTGAGTTCCACTGGGTGCCTGGATGGGACCCCAGACATTGGGGTAAGCGCCACTGGAAGTTCTCCTGGCCCAATTTCTCCTGGATTTCTCTAATCACAGAAGGACAGTAGCTGAACTGGAACCAGAATCCCAAATTCTGTCTTCCAGAACTATACCTTTGTCATTTGGCCTCCTTAGAGAGCCTGGCGCACAGGGGGTCTTTAAGAAATAAAAATCTGTTGCATGACAAAAAGCCACCTGGAATCTCACCACCCAGAGATAAAACTGCTGCTAATTTTCAGCATTGTTACCTGGGCACAGCCTGGGATTGATGACAGATAATCCTAAGGCTTTTATGAGTCACCAACCTTTCCATAAAAAAGAAACAAACCAACCCCTGATGAATCGGGACATTCAATATGTGTTTTGAAAGGTATTTTAACATGTTGGTGAGGTTTTTTTCCCCTAATTATTATTTTGGTAGCTTATTTTAATGCTCACTCCATATTTTCCCCATGATTAATTAATGAGGAATCTAAACATTGCCAAAGTTTCTGTCTTACAATAAAGAATAAAAAAGGCAGCGGGGGATGAGGCAGGGAAGACAAACTTTAAATGTTTCTTGGTTAAACACACTAGAAGCAGAAAACAGTGGGCACCAGCACATGGTCTAACGTCAGGAGGGGCCCCTTTGGCTCCCTAAGTGCCAGAGGAGGGAAGCGGGCAGCAGGCAGCTGAGCAGCCCTTCCCACGCTGACTCGGTGTGCCTACATCCCATTGTTCACTTCCACCTGGCAAAGTTCTCGCCAACACTGTGGCTCCCGGAACTCAGAGGGAGAGAGGGTCAGTTCGACCCTCACTTCCTAAACCCGTCCACTTGAGAAGCCTGCTGTACCCCGCCCAAGCGAAGGAGGGTTAACACTGAGAAAATACTCTCTGAAGGCTTTTGTGAAATTCTGTAAGATTTCTTTGCACTCACTGTGGTGTGTGGTTGGAAAGTTTCTCTAGTGTGTAATACAGATTTTGAAAGTTAATGATAAACATCTCAAATGATCTTGAATTTAGCCACACTAGCTATCACTGAAGCCCAGATACCTTTAGAGTCAATCATTTACCTGAAAGGGGATCTCCAGTACTGTCTGGAAAGCCATTTTCTTCTCCCTTAAAAAACAAAAAGCAATCTTCATTAAAACCATACCCATACATGATTGGAGATGGTATCAATTTTCCAATTTAGTTAAATTTCCACCAAAAACTGTGGGTGGGGGAAGGAGGATGGATCTTAAAAATGGTATTTTAATGGGTAGTAAGGCAGACAGAGAAAGACAAATATCACATGGTATCACTTATACGTGGAATCTAAAAAAGTGGTACAAATGAAGTTATTTACAAAACAGAAATAGAGTCACAGATGTAGAAAACAAACATGTTTACTGGGGGGAAAGCAGTGGGAGGGTTAAATTAGGAGATTAGGATTGACATATACACACTACTATATGTAAAACAGATAACTAATAAGGACCTACTGTATAGTACAGGGAACTCTACTCAATACTCTGTAATTACCTGTATGGGAAAAGAATCTTAAAAAGAGTGGATATATGTATAACAGATTCACCTTGCTGTACACTTGAAACTAATACAACATTGTAAATCAACCATACTCCAATAAAAACATTTTAAAAATGAGTAGTGAATGATGTGTCTCTCCCTAGAATATAAGCTTCTGGAGGGCAGGGGCCCTTGCCTATTTGCTCTCCATGCTGGATCCTCAGTGGCCAGAACAATGTCCAGCACACAGGAGACACTCAACACATTTATTAAATGAATTACTGTCCTTATTTTTTTTAAAAGTATAAGTGCACATAACAACATGCTACTCTTTTGGGTTTTTTAAATTTCACATTATGGACTATTTCCCTTATTTTATTTCCTATTTACTTTTTGTTGGGCTTGTTGTTTGTCAGTCCAGGTTATAATTCTTTCCTGTATCTATTACACTTTTTAAGTACATATTACAAAGCAGCAAAGAAAAACTGTTAAAAAGCAGCGACCAATTCCCTTGAGAGGTAATTGTGTTTCTGCCTGCCTGAGGTTCCATTTTTACAAACAAGGCCATGTTACAGGATATACTACCTGGAGGGATTTACCTGATCTTCTTGTAGGGGGTGTGTGTGTGTGTGTGTGTGTGTGTGTGTGTGAAGTCAGCAGAGGAGACTGACCCTAGTATATGTCTATGTTAACTCCATCTTTACAAAACTAAAATCTCTCAGCAGCTAACAGTACTCCCTCCATCCCTAGTATTTCAGAGGAAGCACTAAGAGTTGGGTCAAAGCCCTGGGTGTAAGTCCAGCTGCACTCGTAACCTCAGGCACATCACTCACCAGCACTGGCTTCTGATCCCCTATTTGTATACTGAGGTGGCTGATAGATTTGCTTATCGCTAAGATGCTCCACATTCCCAGGTCTCTGAAAGTTTCACCCTTAATGATGCGTTAACTCCCTGGTGTATCAAACATTTTAAACAGTCTCTTCCTCTTAATCTCCTAAGAAGCCCTTCTCCTTGCTCCAAGCTCATAAATGCCCACGTCTCAGCAGTGCATAGACACTGGTCTAATTACAATCCTATTTTTTTTCACACAAGAAGTATTCCTATGTCTTACCAGCTAGATTTTGTCCCCTAACTCATCTCAATACTGTTTTTGAGTCCTGTTCCTTCCCACTATCCTCACTAGTACAAAAAGCAAACTGCTCACCATATGTATATACAGTTTGTAAGAGTTTGAGCAGTTTCTAAAAGAACAAAAATTCCTCTCTGCAATTTTTTACTTCTGCAAGGCGAAACCCAGAAGCTCCGAGATGTTAAGGCCACTATTCATTATTCACCCGGTCGTGTGGAGACCTGCCTTTTAGCATCTGCGCAGCTCCAGCAGGACGAGGCAGGCTTGCCCTCCCATCAACACAGTCACGGTTCTGCTCACTGAATTGGAAACTTGCACGGAAGAAGCAAAAACAGGACCTTCAGTGTCGAGACACACAAATGTTAACACTTGACAGATTTTTGTGGTACTAACGAGGTCCTGCTAAAACATGAACTGTCCTTTAAGTAAAGACCATATTACACGGCATATCTGACTTGATTTCTCATCATCTGGAGAAAATGTTACCAAAATCAGTGTCTGGCCAGACTCATCACCCTGATGTAGATGAGGGACATGACTCAGAATTACTTGTGAAGGTTGATGGGGACAGAGTTTAGAACTGTGATCTCTATTCTCGCTCTAATTATTATGTTATGCTACTTTTTAGGTTAGTTTTGTAAGAGTGAAATCAGAAGAGACTGATTTTTGTGGTCTTACTGAAACCTCATTCGTCACCTCTTTTCTGAGTAGCTAATAGGTACAAGCACCTACAAAGATAAAAGGACCCGAACCCTTGACCTCAAGGCCTGCCCTCAGATACGCTGGGGAAATAGAGTCGCACACGAGTAACTAAAATACAAGGCAGAAGATGTTGCATTTCAATAGGGAGGAATAGATCAAGTCAGAGGGCAGAGGTTGCTTCCAACAAAAACACCCAGAGGAGCTTTCTTCGAATCAGAGGCATCTGAGACGAGCCTTGATGAGGGTCTGGAGAGTGGGGACGGGGAGGAAAGGGCATTTAGCCGGAGGTCCACGTAAGCCCAAAAAGAAATGGAAACAGACGGGGCTCCTGTAGGGTGTTTTGTCTGAAGCAAAGGCAGTGAGGGGATGACGGAGGGAGATGAGGTGGGAAAAATGAGCTGAGGCCTGAAATCCAGTCTCAGGCGATGGAAGTCACTGACGGGCTCTCACCAGAATCAGGGCATCCTCGCAGCTGCAGAGGATCAGAGCGGGAACACGCGCCCAGGCGATTTGATGGAGGCGGGGGAAGCATGACTGACTCAAAGGCAAGAATTATGAGGCCCCCAAACCACTCCTTTGGGAGAGGAAGGGATAAAGCTAGAGCCACGGCGGGGATACAGCCAGGACGTGGGCAAGGGAGCGGAGGTGAGACGAAGAGCGAGTTTGGAAGATGAGATGGATGAGACAAGATCTCGGCAGGAACTGAGGATGTCTCTGGTCCTTGGGAGAGGCCAGGGCAGGGGACAGAGACATGGATGCTGACATGGTCACGGGAGGAGAGAGAGGTCGTGGAGGGCATGCAGTGAGGTCACAACCTCGAGGAGCACCCAACGGCCTACATTCCGGTGGTGAGGGAGGGAACGAGAAAGGAAAGCAGAGGAGGGAGGTCAGAGAGGAGAGAAAAGGTCAGGGCTCCAAGGGCCATGTGAAGATACGGTTTGGTGAGAAGAGTGGTTTGTGAAAGCAGCTCTAGCAGAGTGGTGGAAGCCAATGCACAGCTTCTAGCTGCCTCATTTTCTTCTGTCTTTGAAGCCTCGGCTTAGACATCACCAGCTCTAGGAAGTTTCTCCAAAGTCTCCGTCTGGGTGACAGGCCCTGGGTGCTCCCACAGCATCCTGGACCTGCCACTCCCCAGGGCGCTCGTTACACTGAGTGGGGAGGTTTGCAGTATCTCTTCTGCACTAGACCCTACATTATGAGGCAAAGGGTCTTGTCCATGCTGTCCTGTAGTGATTAACATGTGTCTGAGACAGATAACACAGAAGATCTGCGAGAGGGGAAGTGGGAGGGAGGGAGGGAGGAAAGAAGACTTAAATACAGCCCCGGCTCTGAGTTCTCCAGACCAGAGGATGCTGCTCTTCAAGCTGCTTCCTTACCCCTCCCCCATTCCCTTCCACCCTGCTCTCTGGCCTCATCTCCTTGGTCACCAGTTGCGCACCTCCACCCCCAATCCATCCTTCTCACCTGGCTCCTGTCACTTAGTCACTGTCAACCATCTCAGTGATATGTTTAAAAACACCCTAGATGTGTCCGTCAGCTGTGGGCCTTGCCAGTCCTTAGCTCTGCATGATTCTACTCCACCAGTCTTGCTCTAAATGCTGAGGATTGCTGGGGAAAAAGAAATGACAAGCCTCACACATTCATGAGCTCACAAATCTGATCTCAGCTGGGTCCCAGCTGCTTTTTGGTCATTCTTGGTTTCCCTTCAAATCGTCCTCGTCAAGGCCCTGTTGGGTCCTGTTCCAAAGCTTTTCTGTTCAGAGATTTCTGTTCAGAGGACTCGTTTTAATTCTGAGTGAAGTTCAAGTGCAATCTGTTGGGTTTTTGGAAACAACCTAAATGTCCATCAATAGATGAATGGATTAACAAAATGTGGAATACTATTCACCCTTAAAAAGGAAGGAAATTCTGACACATGCTACAGTAAGAATGAACCTTTAGGACATTATGCTAAGTGAAATAAACCAGTCACAGACATACAAATACTATATGATTCCATTTATATGAGTTACCTAGAGGAGTCAAATTCAAAGAGACAGAACGTAAAATAATGATTACCAGGGAGTGGGGCAAGGGAGAATGGGGAGTTAGTGTTTAATGGGGATAGAATTTCAGTTTGGGAAGATGAAAAAGTTCTGGAGATGGATGGTGGTGAAGGCTGCACAACAATGTGAATGTACCTAATGCCTCTGAACTCTACACCTAAAAATGATCAAGATGGTAAATACTGCTTGTGTATCTTACCACAGGGGTCCCCAACCCCCAGGCTGCGGACCGGTACTGGTCTGCGGACTGTTAGGAACCGGTCCCTGGTGCCAAAAAGGTTGGGGACCACTGTTTTACCACATACAAATTTTTTAAAATCTCCTTAGGAAATCTGAAGGTAACCACGAAGTTGAATGCCAATGGTTTATATATCCAAGTAGGCTAAAGAAAACCCCCATTTTGTAAAACCTTTCCATTGTGAATACGAGGGAGTTACCTTATATTTGGGCAAATTTGTTAACCTCTGCTAAGAATTCTTTGAGTAGAAAGTTGGCTAGGTGACACTAATTTTGCACTTTGGTGAGTTTATAACCTGGTCGTCGGGTCCCATTTCTGCTTAGGGAGCTGCAGGAACCAGGTGCTGAACAGGAGTCCCCCGTGGAGACTTACACATGGTGATTTCACACCAGGCTCCGAGCAGTAGCAACTCCAGGGCCAAGAAGACACTCGGGGAAAAGCTCTCAACTCAGAGATGAACGTACTCTGTGTGCCATCCACATGGGGGGATGGACT